ATGTAGTCTGGGCGCCGGGCGCCAATAGGATATCAACTCTGGTTCGTAGTTGATGATGATGGGACTACTTCAGCATTGTCAATTTTGAACTCTTGGTGTGTTCTTATTTGGTGTATCTCGTAATGCAAGTCTGCTGTGGTTCGAGGTCAAGACTATCTGGGCTCATATGTATGGTGCTGTTTTGATTGCTGAAGTTCGCTAATGCTCATCTTCCTTGCAGCTGTAGGGATCCTTCCGAAAAGAGGCTGGAGTCGCTCGCCTTTTACTGTGCCTCTTATGCACAAGGCTGCCCGCGTTGATTGTGGTTGAGCGGCAGCTGCCCACATCCCCGTGTGCCTTCACAGCCCACTTGCACGTTATTTCAGGAGGCAGAGKAAAAGGGAAGGTATGCTCCTGTGCATCTCTTCAGAGCTTCATACTCCTGTTCATTTCACTTCAGATCTTCAGCTTATACAGTCTTTTGTCCGTCACGGGAGGCAGCAGTGGGGAATTTTCCGCAATGGGCGAAAGCCTGACGGAGCAATGCCGCGTGGAGGTAGAAGGCCTACGGGTCGTAAACTCCTTTTTTCAGAGACGAAATCATGASGGTATCTGAAGAATAAGCATCGGCTAAATCTGCGCCAGCAGCCGCGGTAAGACAGAGGATGCAARCGTTATCCGGAATGATTGGGCGTAAAGCGTCTGTAGGTGGCTTCATTCGTATGTTTTTGTTAGTAGTACAAAGGGAGTGGAGGGGAGGGTGGAGGGTAAGGGATAGAAGGCGGGCAGGGGAGGTAGGGGCAACGGGAAGGAAAGAAATATGTGAAAAGAAAAGAAAAGAAAAAAAAACTGCTACTATGGCAAGTGGCCACCCCTACAGACCGGACAGGACCGGTTCGGGTGTGGGCTATGGAAGCACCGCATCCAATTTCCGCAGTCACAGTTGCTGCATCGAATGGCACGACGCAGACAGATGTCACAGGCTACGTGGCTCGTACATGCTAGGAACACAGAGGCACGTCGACCACAACTATAGAGGCATTGCCGTTCCAGCCCCTGTCTACAAATTGGACATGACATGTCGGGGTGCCGTACACGAGTACCATATTGACTGTCATCGTGCGTATGGAAGCAAAAGCTCGCATGGACTATACCTTCATAATCTTCACGGCACAAGGCATGTGAACCACATGCTAGTTGAATCTCCGGCGGGTCATCACAAAACGGCATGGAGCACCTTTCTTGAACTTCCTCAGTATGTATTCCTTCTCTGTGGGCAGACGACGACAGGGTGGATCGGTCCAACGCAAGGGCATTCAGCTGCTGCAGGATATGATCAGCAACAGCCCGCCCTGGTGGTGATAAACTATGAGCACATCGCTCTGTCGGTGGCTCATATAGAAGTCTATTTTCCTCCTCGGACTGCTGTGTTCGCCGTTCGTCTGGCAAGAAAGAGGGAGATCCGTCAGCGGTTGCCGTAGGTGTATGACCAATGCCGCATGTGGGACATGCTAGGARAGGATGTGGARGGTGATGGCACCRGGGATAGTCCAYRCAGTAAAGACACATACTTTCTATGACAGCTTCCTGGAAGCATTGACAACACATGGCATGTTGCTGACATGTCATTAGTATGGAAGGCTGACGTGCACAGTTATTTAAGCATGGCAGGTCAAGGCCACAACAGCATGCTGGGCAAGTAATCAGGAGGGTTGGGGGGGTGGGCACAGGACTGGGGATCACAATTTTCGTGTGAGAGGCTAGCAGCAACCATCCCTTCATAGTGTTCGGAGCAGAGGCTATGTCGTGTACATGCCAACTGAACTGTACCTGTGCGACGACACAACGGGAGGGCACAGCCATCCTCCTGTGGAGAGGTCCTTTCACTGTTTGTGGTAGAATCAGCAGGATTGTTCTCCGGGGGGTGCAGTGCTTGCAAATGCTCATCGACATACTGTTCCTGAGCCAGACTGAGTGACCCTCCAGCATTTTGTTGATAGAAACAGTTAATATTTCCCACTGTGTGCACCCTACCGCCATTGTCCCATAGGGTCCATGAACTATCTGCAAAGGTGAGAGCACTGAAGTGACCTGGACGATATAAGATAAATGCCCGAATATTTGGATCCGTGCCTGGCTCGTGGTTTTGCGGAGCAGGCTGGAATTGCAGTCGCCTACCCATAAATGCCATAGCCAGGACTTCTATGTTCACCCCAGGCGCAGCGCTGTCATCGTCTGGCCAGACGGCACGGTGCTCTTCTTCTATCCAGCAAACAATGCCTGCGAAATCAGCAACAGTATAAGGATTACAATTGTAAGCAAGGTGACATACATTAGTGGCATAGTACGCACAGCGCCCTCGCTGTAGTGCTATGACATTGTCTGATTCCGCAGGTAGCGTGGGAGATCCGTTTATGGCAGGGGGGTCCTCGTTCAATTCTGCAGGTTGCCCAGGTGGCGGAGACTCGTTGTGGTCTTGACCAATTGGCTCCGGTATGTGCTCCGGAGAGAAATGATCTTCAACCGGGGGCTCCGTCAGGTAATCAGGAGACGGGCCATTTGAAACGGTATTCACCAGTTCGCAGTAGCGAATGCAGATCCCAGGGCTCGATCCCTAGTTCCCCATCTTACCTGTGTACAGTATTGATGTCAACCCGTAGATTTGAACCTGCGACCTGTCGAAACGCCAGTGGTAGGTGGATTGTCGTAGGTCACAGCTTAGAGGGGAATCGAACTGTGGACTTGTAGGGTAGAAGTCTAGACAGTTCCGAAGTCGTAGTTGTAGGTTGTCTGAAAGGTCAAGGTCGTAGCTGCTACTTACCTGAAGGGGCAAAGTCGTAGCTGCTACAGCACCGAAAGGCCAAGTCAGAGGTTTCTAGAAGCGGCCTTTCGGAGTGAGCCTACGTTGAACAGAAGCAAGTGGTCAAGTGGTGGTAGGCCACCCTGCTGAGTCATCAGTCCCAGTTAGGCAGTCCGGTCCTGTCCAGCAAGTACCGTCTGGGACTGTGTGCACCAAGGGCCAAGGGACACAGGGCAGACCAACGCAGTGCAGAAGTATAAATCAAGAGGCTGYGTCCAGCCATTCATTCATTCCTGCGGATGCCATGCGGAAGCGCTGCCTCAGCAGGTTGTGCGAGGAGGTCTACAGTGTGCCCGAAGACGAAGTGGGCAGAGAAGTGTAGTGTAGCGATAGGGTACTGGCAGCTAGCGCTTCCATAGCTATAGTAGTGTGTGTGTGTGTTG